AAAAACTTGTGATTTCACTGACCCGACCTAGGATGAGACAGTTTTCCATCAATAAGAGAGGAGCACTCATAATTTTTTCAAAAAAGGGGCGCGGTTTTGACACACACACACCCGTGATTTACCGTCCTCTGTTGAACGAAATCCCTTCATATCTTCGAAAAGCCCTCGATGCAAGGAGGAAGGGGACTTACGTGAGAGGAGAGGGGGGGGCGGTTTATTAAAGCTTATATCTTGAACATAATGTGGAATGACTGTAACTCGGGATGCGGATATTGCCATTGATGTGTTCCCCCAGTTGGAAATGGAGGGTGGTCGTGAACGTTTCACAGCCAAGCTAGACAACATCATAAGCGCCATGTCCCCGAAGTTAGATAATGTATATATCGAGGCCGGTGTTGGTAACACCAGTTGTCAGGATATTTTTTTCATTCTCCATGTTCGCTTCCTTTTTTTGAATACATACAATGATACAATTTTCAGACCAATCAAAGGACTGGCATAGAACACAGAATGGGGGAAATTCAGGCGATGATGGTAGTGGGACTCGAACACACACACACACACATCCTCCCCGGGTGATTGTCTGATGACCCTTACCATCGGATCATCACCGTACATGAAAATAGTGCCGTGTTACATGGAAAAACCGCCTACTGGATGTTGAGAATATAACGAGTTCATTTGCCATTTGTTCCTAATCGTATAGACCACCTTCCATCTGCCGCATCACGTTGACAGAGGTAATTGTGGTTCCGATGCGCAGCAAAGCTGGTGAACCTTGTGGTCCTCCTAGCTTAATACTATCTGGAAAACTTTCTGGATAACTTTAATCTACGCATTTCAGGAGCGATAATGCCCCTTAAGTAGAAGCCTCTAAATATTACCTCCAATTATTAAGTACCGTTCTGTTTCTTACACCCCTATGTTGTTGCAAGTATGAGGACGTTCTGCCTAAAACAGTAGCGTGATTATTAGATTCAAATGACACTTTTCAGTGTGCCCATAAATCTTCGTGACATTGCCACTCAAGTCGTGTACTCCGTTGTAGATGCTTAAGGTAGTGGCCTCCGGGCTGTAAGATTGGTGGTTTGAGCATATTATGGGGTTACTTTGTAAAGTGAACGATCTGCGGTACTACAATCAATTTGGACCTGTCGTAAGGAGCTACTCTGTCTCACTTTTTTCATTACATAGAGAATATTTCTACCTACCAGAGTTGTACTGACCACAAACAAGCAGATAAAATAGTCATTAGAAGTTCATAAACTTCGTCAATGTGACAGTCTGACTAACCTATGCAACCAGTCTGCATTCCGTTAGCTTCCAAACGCCCGTGTAGTATTCTTTCTAATCCTAAGANAGTATTTTATCTCGTTCGGGTTGGGGTCGAATTATTCCCAAGGTTACATACCAGGAATGTTACAGGGTTATTTTATCACCCGAACTTCCGTGGTCTATGCTTTTGAAATCTGCGCTATTGAAGCTAGTACATTGTTGTTGTTGACAGTAAAAGACTGGGAAAACATGGTGCAACACACTGTTTAAAATTACAATTTATCATAGCCTACACGAATCATTTTGCGTGTATTGTCCTGTCATCATTTTTACGGGTTCGACAGACAATGAATTGACTGAGTGTTCGAAGTTCCAGCACCAGGTTGAGTTGTTTACACTAGAAGGAGCTTGTCGAGTTCACTGTGAGATAATTCAAGTGAGTAATGGAGGATTTGATATAATTTAAAAGGTGAATTCGTCGTGAATATAGCGAATAAAGCGTGAACTGAAAAGCTAGGAAGCAGGGATAGCTGCCTCAACGTGGTTGGGTCTCATCAGCAGTGCGAATAAATCGACCCAGCTGGGAATCGAACCCGGGACCTCACAAGCAAAAAGCAAGCATGTTACCCACTCGGCCACCGGACAGCTGACCAGACCGTTTCGAATTGAATCAAATCCGTCATCACTCACTTGAAATAAGTAGTCAAGCTGTAAATATTTCCAAACAAGTCATAACCCGGAGGCTAGTGATGGGATGAGCGAGGTCTGTGGCTCACAACAAACTCACAAAGATGGGCTGCAGTATATCGTGTAGATGGAAGATAAAAAACGGTCTGATCAGCTGCTCGGTGGCCGCGTGAGTAGCATGTTTGCGTTCTGTCTGAGGTCCCGGGTTCAATCCCCAGTTGGGTTGATGGATTCGCACTGCTGATGAGACCCAACCAGGTTGAAACAGCTGTCCAGTTAACGCTTCGATTGTCACATGGACGACGAATTTCCCGTTACAGATTTAGATCCCGTCCGTCCAATGCCGACCACTGTTTACTCGATGAAATTCTCAAAGATAAAATGTGCAAAAAAAACTGAACGGATGGATGGGCACCACTGTTTAACACACTCATGCGATACCTGCAGAATTCTCAGTATGGTCGGGGGTGGGTGTCTAGGGTTGCGGCTGGTCACACTTCCCTTGCATCTCCCGAAATGCTCCAATACGACCAAACATCTCAAATGGCCACTGCTAAGTAAGCCCTACTCACTACCTTCTCGTGGGGGAGGTGTTTCCCACCAAGGTAGGAGGATGAAAAACCGACATCCGCAGCTATAACCAAGTTGGTGGACAACTGGTAGTTCACCTAGGGAAGTTGGCCAAAAACCCTGGTTCCAAACCAACCAAGAGGCGTACGAACCACACATACCATCCCGGTTATGGCAGTGGTCATCAGCTCGATTGGGCATCGAGGTGTATTGGGCACCTTGGACGTTTCACCCCGTCCAAGGGGCATATGATCCGATGATAAAGATCACTGTAACATGATTTGTTTGGCACACAGTCTGGCGTCAAATGAGTGCGAAATATACTAATAATGTCATGCGGTGACTCGTTACCTATAGTTCAGGTCGATAGCAATGTCCGCTACCGGGAATCGCAATGAAGCCAGAGTAATTGATACCTCTGATCAAGGTTTTAATATCCTCAGGCCGGGACTTATAGCGACTAAGTTAGCCTGTTTCGACAAGTATCACAAGATGTGTGACGTTGTAACGCTTGGATATCCTTACGAATTTCCGGCTCAGAATAATGCCCTCAACGCATCAGAGTACACATTCAATGTGGTTAGTTTGAATGGGCCTGGAGGACGGAGGGTTTCAGCTGGTGGAGGATTCGGTGAGACTTGGACAGTAGTAGGGAAAGGACACGACAGAACAGTTAGTACGATCGTCTGAAGAACCCGGGAGAGTTGGTGTGTTAGCGAGATGAAGGTGAAAATTGGGAGGTCTGGGGAGACATGAGTGTGTGTACGGTGTACAATGTTTATCGCTGAGTAAAACTGTAGACTGGTGAGACGAAAGATTGGAGAAATTCGTCATTTTATGCGTTGTGAGCAATCGTACTACTAGTTTGCCTGGTCCAGAGGCTCGAGAATGCACCCGAGCCTTTGCGCAAAGAAGGGTGGACTGCAAGATAGCAGCGATATTCTAGATGAGCCGATGGTCAGTATTGGGTTCAATCGCCTCTTCTAGAAAACCTTATTGAACAATCGACATCGACAAAAGGGTAATGGTCATATCTAGTGGCGTCACAGCGCTGTCTATAGGTATGTGCTGTTTTGCATGCAGAACCTTGTTTGCTGTTAGCCGCGGAACCACGACCAATACCCTAGCCGCAACTTGGCTTCCGCGCTCGGTAGCATACAGCTCTGCTCTCCTCATAACAGGATCCATCCCATTTCTTCTAATGCGGTATGATAACCGACCTACATGATTCTTCGGAGACTTATTCACCTTCGCAATCAGAATCCAAAGAGTTTCGTCAACTACAAGACTAAGGATGAGCCGCTCGAATATAAACATGGATGGAGTCACGGTATCCTTGGTAAGGCTCAGAGAATTTGTTGTCGAACTGATCCGTGATCCCTGCGGTGTTCATTTAAATGGGAACGGCAAATGGAAATGAAACAGAAAGGTAGGTCGATCAAGGGTACGCGCGATCCAAAGCAATTAGTAAAAAGTCAAAAGGGGTTGGCACGTATGTATATGAGCTCACTTTGTCACCAAATTGGGCAAAGTAAATCAGCCGGGACGTAGGCACGGAAAATACCAGGTAAAACGGGGCCCGTTGAAATGTGTAATTCGTAAATCAGAGAACAGGGAGTCAAAAAAAGCAAGCGGCACACTTACTCCATCACACGATGTGGAATAGGCAGCTGATTGAGGAACAAGTACTCATCCAATTCCTTTAGGCGTTCAATATACATCACTTTACGAGTCATTTTCGAACTGTAATTAAACGGATGCGGGAGGGGGGAGGTTGATATACTATAAATGAAAACAGCATCGGAAAGACATGAACGATAGATTACTAAAACTGTTACTTCAATATTCTTCACAAAGAGCTTACCGCCGGAGAGCTGTTACCTTCTCCATGCAAACAAATTATTTCTGTCCCGACCGATTTTACCAATGAAAACTTCTCAGCGCGAATATATCCGAACACGCTCAGTGAGTGGAGTACTAAAATACCGACAGAGAATACCACTTGATTGGGTCCTGGAGACAACACATCGGTCCTCCTGTTGGGCCCGGTGTTAAATGTCTCATTTTTTCAAGCATATTCGAAAGTCAGATGCAGTTACTTTTAAGCGGCTGCCTCTTGCGATAGGATCAGTCGGTTTCCTGAATGTCGTGGCTTTCTACTTGTCCACTGCCGACGATTTGAATCAGTGTCTGAGCAAATGGTGATCCGTTTTTGGTGAATTCCCAGGAGTTCAGTATTCATTTTGATAGTGCTCAGCTATATTTTTAATTGGCCTCCAGTACGAGAGCACTAATCCGAACATGATGCTGAGGCGAGGCAGACTTTCGATGGTTTGGTTGGTTCGTCTACGCCGTAGAACTTGATCAAATCGCTACAGACAGCGGTATTATGTGAATAGGGGCAATTTTCGGAATTCGTAACAGCGCCTATGCACTTATTCGACTGCTATTTGGTTTCCGTGTAGGAGCTAACGGTCGAACATTTTCAGTCTTCGGAAGATCTTCTCTTGAAGAAGCCAGGCTTTGTGGCCATGTTGTTGCTTGGTATACGGTGGCCTGGAGGAACCGCAAGTTCGTCCGGAGGGTTATTAACTTTCCTGGTTAAGGCGTCGGAGACTCAGACTTCCCGGCTGAAACGAATACTGATGTGGCCTTCTAGTGATTGTCTCATCATCCAGTGTACAGTGTAGCTGATCGACATGGGAGAGCGAGAGGACTTCCTGTTCCTACATCTGCATTTGGTGAGAAGTCTGATGATTCTTCGCTGTACGTTCGGATGCAAGTCTTCGAACTGAATTGAAAGGGACTTACAAGATTTGTGAGTTTTTTTCGCCACTTCATCATCGCTCACGTTAGTCTATGTGTTCTCTATAGGCTAAATCCAATTAGCAATGAAAGTCGACAGAGGGTGATGGTTGACTGATAGAACGTATACCGATGTTACAAAACCCCTCAAGCTAACAATTCAATCGTTTGTGGGATTGTCAATATAGAGAAGAATAATTTACTTACCTGATAAATGGTTTAAACAAAGACCAGAGAATCTTAATCCCAGTTGTTGGATGAACGATGAACAAGGCTTTGAGATTTTTACGAAAACTGAAAGTCAAAGAAAAATTAGCAACCCAAAATAAGAACAAAGCGGAATATTTGGACAGGGGTACAAAATACTATGATAATATAAAGGAAAAAAAAACAAACGGAAAGAGAAAATGTTTTGACGACCAATTTGATACTGCTACATGATCGATCACGGGAAATTACGTGCGATGGTCGATAGCAAGCACACTGAGCGCGACACGATGGGGTCAAAACTTGTGAAATATCAAATCAACAAATCAGCCGAAATTATCGGTTCATTAGACAAATAGCGTACGGCAGCTCTCTATCTAGGGAGAATAACAACCATTTGAAAGATGAAATATGACCAGAGAGCAGATGTTGTTTCGTGGAAATGCCTCGGAATGGCCACCTACTTGTACAGCTTTGATAAGGAAGTTCTACTCATAACCTCCTCGACAGCGACAACCTCAGGTTTGAGTTTGTCACACACACACACACACACCACTTAAATGACCAGCCGAAGGATAGGATGTTATCGTAGGGTGGAAACCATGGGAATGGATAACTTGGGACCAAAATGGATTACATGGAGTCGAGTGACCGCGAAGTCTTGAATCAGCCCAGGGGATTTGTAAAACTAGCATTCGCAATCACCCGAAAAGAGGTATAACGATGACAGCGGAACATCTGGCACATAAGGGCCGCCAGCGTTGTTAACGGATGAGAACAACGGAGCGTCCAGAAACCATCAGTCACGAAAGATATAAATAAGGCTCGACAAAATTGCTATTTAGACACAACCGGTGTTACGTTTCATAACTACATATCGGGCCATCTCTTGTCAGGTCACTCATCTAACTGTACCGAAGAACTGTAGTTTTAACACAGATCTACTAAGCAACCCCGGATGTATTCGTTTGGAAAGGAACTTCTAAACCGGCCCCGTTATGAATTACTATGATTAGATGCTGC